ATACTTGCACGCACTGATCACACTGCTCTCACGCGGTACTCTATAAGGCAGTGTTTCGGGCAGTTACGTCTCGTCGCTATAAGACAGTGAGAAAAGGTGCACGTTTCGTATGTGTGTGCCTCTGTGTGTGTGTGTGATATTTTTTCTGATAAAACACACGAAAACGGTAGGTCACTGGGGGGGGGGTAGCATATATATATATATATATATGGAGGGTCTGTGTTTGGGGTCCCTTAGGTTCATAAGCCCCCACTCTCCATCAGGCCAGGGAGTGAAGTTGAGCGGCTCGGATGTCGTCGGGCGAAGCTGCCCGGAGCCGGAGCAGCGGTGGCGAAGGAAAAACTGAAGCTGGGCCCAGCGTTTAGGGTTTAGGGTTTAGGGTTTAGGGTTTGGGGTTTGGGGTTTGGGGTTTAGGGTTTAGGATTTACCAAGTGGCGGCAGGACATTGCCTTTGGGTTGCCTTGCGCAAGAAGGACTTGAGCCATCCAGATTCCCAAACCTAGGATTTAGGGTTTAGGGTTTAGGGTTCAGGGTTTAGGGGTTGAGGGTTTAAGGTTTAGGGCTTAGGGCGTAAGGGTTTGCAAGGGAATGCTAGAACCGCCGACCTCTTCGAAAGGAAGCAGGTCAAATCTCTTGGGGCTTCTGGGGGCGATTTGAACCTCCCCCACCCCCCGCGCCCCTGCTAGCAAGGCCAAGACCACCTAATCCCTAAACCCTAAACCCTAAACCCTGCAGCGCCTTTTCACATTCCAAAACCTTGAACCCCTAGATTCCCAAACCCAAGAAAGTGTCTCACGCTACCAACAACTACATGTCGATTAACTAGTATCAACCGCTTCGGAACTCATTTTCAGCCGCCACAAACAGCACAGACTTTAAAGAAAATAAGGCTCGCAGCCGACCAATGGACCAAGGGCCAAAGGCCTTCCGGACAAAGGTTTAAAGGCCTCTCGCTGGGGGAAAAGCGAAGACCGATGGCTTCTCTTCCTAGGAGTCAGAAAGCTCTTAACACCCTTAGCCGTCGCAAGAAGACAAAAGGACCAGAGCTTGCGCAGCACTTGATAGAAAATGGGAGAGCTTGTCTAACTCTTGAATGGAAACACAGGTCAGGGCGTCTAATGCTCTTGCGAACAAACCAGTGTCCTCGAAACTTGGGCGGGAGAGCCCCTCACACCTTGAATTTGACTGGTATGACATAACGGAACTCCTGAATTTCTTAAGAAGAAACAGCTCCTGTAGTATACAATGCAATAAGATGGTTCCTCGAACTCGTAATAAATAGGATGAGGTGAGGCGCTTGTCTTCACATACGAACAAACAATACCAAAAAGACATGCGGGGCTGAAGAAGGCCATGGCTCCTAACACCAAAGATGAAATGGATCGGAGAGCTCTTCCAACTGCCGCAGATGTACTCACCAAAGAGGAGGGACGCTTCCGCAGTTTCTGATAACAAGTACGATCTACTCGTACACGGTGACAAGAAGCGAGGTCCTCTAGCCAATGAACTAACAGGAACCTTCCGACTCTGCTCCAACTAGGCCAAGGAGAGTTCTCTCCAAGTCTCAATGCGAAATTAAGAGGAAGAGAGTCTTCATAGCTTTGTTGACGACGAGGGACGGTTGCGCTAACTCTCCAAAATAAGTGAAGCTTGTAATACGAAAGAAAGAGATGGCTCCCCAAAACCTCAAGTAAGCAGGGGAGGAGAGGCGTTGAGCTCGCCAGCTGGCAACTTTTAAAGTACATTTACGTGCGTCGGTCATGGCGGGGTGGCTAACTGTTTGCACAGATCTGTATGAAGCTTCTCCTCCGGGATTCTGTCGTGCCAACGTCTGCTGGGTAGCGCCGTGCTGATTTACATCATCAGCATGGGCCCAAACCACGCAGTGAAAAGAGCTATCGGCATCCTACGCAAGGACCTCAAGCCACCAGCAAGTGAAGGTCGTCAGAGCACGATCCATTGCTGTTGGGATGTAGCCGTGGCACAAGGTTGCTTGGGGCTAGCCATTACAGAGGAGCCGCCGCTGTGCTGTCCAGCGTGCAGCTGGCAAAGCGGTTCGGTTCAAACGGGGGGGGGCTTCCCAGCTTGGAGGTGTCTCAAGCGTCAGAAGCCGTACACCAAATCCAATCCCTGCACCGCCTGCACATGCAGCGAAGCATGGACCTAAAGAGACGCAGATGGGAGACACCTCCATAGCTGCCTAAGTGTATCCCGGAACGTACTAAATAACAACATGCCGGGGGCATTAGCTATGAATCATGTGAGGCTGCAGTATGCTTTGGCAAAGCCTCCATGTTCGAAGCTTCGACGGCCAACGCTTCACGCAGAACTCTCAGGACCAGCGGGCCTCGAAGTACACCTCCGGAGTCCTGACGGCGACAAACGACAAGCTGGCAATCGAGTGAAGTGTCCGGCTGCCCTGCGCGACCACGTGCCTAGACATGACCAGCTCGACTGCTCTGCAACCCCCCCAGAGGGTCGGTGACCCCCCATGCGGGTCGGCACGACCCCCGCGTGACCCACGCGGGTCCTCGTGCCGGAGCCCAGCGGCTCCAAGGCGTCCGCGGCGCCCGGGGCGACGAAGACCGGCCGCGCCTGCGCAGCCTGGCCCTGGAACTGGCGCGCAGCGAGGCTCAGGAGGACCTTTCGGTACAGGTTGCCTCAGTACTGTCTCAGACAATCCCGCAATGCATCTCATGCAATCGCATATCATCTCTTACAGTTTCAATCGATCGTCGCGCACGTCCTGGACCCAACTGAGCCCGGCACACAACCCTCCCTCACCCTGGATGCGCCGGCGCAGCTCGGAGCACTGCCCGACTCTTTGGCCCACTTGCAAGCGCCACGCCAGGTGCTTTCCCAAGCCTTCGTCTGCCTTCATCCCCAAGGCGGCAACGTCCTGCTGGGCCAGCTTGCCGATGTCCATGTGAGGAGGTGCTGCCACATTGCGTCAGCACTGGCGACAGTGTGGGAAGACTGCCTGGACTGCGGAGGCGCCGTTGGCATCTTGCCCCGTGCTGCACCCTCATGGCACGCTCTCCACAAACGTCCCAGCCCACCAGCCTGCAGCACCTGCTTGCGCAGACAAGGCTGCTTGGCATAGACAGCTGAGAGCGCCAAGTCTTTGCTGAGAGCATCGATTCGCCTTTGCTCAGGGTCATTCTCCCGGAAGCTGAGGGGCACTCGGAGCAATTGGTCAGTCAGCCAGGCCCATGCTGCAAAATTCGCGCTTTCCATGGCTCGCAAGGGCCAAGGGCTAATGGGCAACGGGCGTCGAAGACTCGGCTGAACAGAATGACTGCAAGGAATGCAAGGACTGCAAGTTGCTGCTCCATTCAGTGGTCCTTCAATGGCCGGCAGCTCCTTCACTCCCCACAGCCAGAGATCTTCTATGCCGATCTCGTTTGTTCTCCTTGTTTCTTTCTCTTGGCTGCTCGTTGCCCCCCTGCAACACTTCCCCGACCACCCCCCCTCCCTACCGCAGCCCTCCCCCCCCCCCTCCCAGCACGTGTCAAGGGCTCCACCCCCCCCCCCACCCCTTCGGAGGCAAGCTTGGGAGGCCGGCCACCAGGTCGCCCCTTTCTGGGGATTCGTCGTCCTGATTTCTTTTCTAAGGTGTGCAGGAAGAACGTCTGCTGCCGGAGCTCCAAGGCAACCACCGTTGAACCACCCCCCCCACCCAAACTGTCAAGCTTGACACGTGCGTGTCGATCTTGCTGCCTCAAGGAAAAGCCTACAAACTTGACGTGTACACGTCAAGCTTGCCGTGTCAACCAATAACTCGAACTTGCTGCGTCAACGAACAGGACAAGTGCCCAAGCTTGACATGCACGTTTCAAGCATGCCGTGTCAACCAATCAGAAAGTCGACGAAACCTGTCATGCACGTTTCGAGCATGCTATGTCAAGGAACATTGAGCAACACGAGGTGATGTTCGGCGCAGTTTTCATGGCAAGTGAAAGCAGTAGTCAGCCCTGTGAATGGATTTGTATATGCCTATGCACGAGACCGGTTTTGTGCCATGCGCCCTGGGTCTGGCATGTACCTGGGCAAAAGTGTAGCGGTGACCTGGAAGATCAGGGAGGTATCACAGCTCTGTACAGCCGAAGCACAACTTGCAATAAATGCAAGTCGATGCTTAAATTGAAACGACTATCTTCCACCAGCGAGCAGCTGGTTATGTGGGCCAAGAACCCCTGAAAAGACTTGTGGCACTCACACTTTGCGCTAGTTCTGGGATATAGGCGGCGTGTCTGGAATGCATCTTCAATGTACAGTGTCTCTCAAAACTGCTGCAAGGTCTTGGTGCTAAGCCTGAGTGCACTATTTGGGGAGCTGGAGAAACTGCGTCATGGGATAGCGGCTGCTGCTAAGCGTGCAGCTAGTATGCAAAACTAGCCCGGCCGATTCCCCGGGTCTGTCCGGGAATGTGCCAACATTCATGGGAATGTGCCAACATTCAGGGGATTCCAACCATGTACGAATAAAAAGCAATTCGACTTCCTAATACAACCAAACAGTCCAATGTCTAGGTTGAACTGTTTTGGGCCCGCAATGCAAGGGGTCCCTAGGCAAGATCAGATTGAGGACACGACTTGCGTAAATCAAATGGCGCAAGCTCAACCCAGGTCAGGATGAAAATTTCTTCGAGTCTTGTTTGACTTGTTTCTCCTTACCAAGGTGACCACGCGCATGGTACTCTAACCAGCATCCAAAAGACTTGGAAGTACACTGTACGTACTCTTACCAAGTTGGCACAAGGATTGGATTTGTATGACAACGCACAAAGTAAGGGGCCATGAATCTGGCACACACCCATCCGACAAGAGGGCCTTGAACCAATTATTGCATTGCCTGCCACGGTAACGGGCGTTCCAGTAATAAGGAGCGTGCGCAGCTCAACAAAGCCCAAGAAGTCTGCAATGCCAATTGCTATTCTTCCGTTGCGTCCACACAAAAAACCGATCGATAAAAGTCTTTTTGCCAGAACTGAAACACTGTCATCGGAGGTCGCCCTCTTCAGACCACGCCGGTGCACCCCCGTGATGGACAATGTCTGCGCTGTTGTCGTCTTTCTTGGGTCTAACGCGCATGCGGTTGAAAGATCCTGTCCTTTCCAAAGTCTTCTGAACCGCTGTCGGTGCACTGGAAAGATAATGAAACAACAATGCTGTACAAACTCCTGCCGCATGTAAACTCAATATCCCCAACATGTTTGAGATCTTCAGCTGGCTGTTCCGTTCAGAGTGTGCTCCCGAGTTCAACTCACCAAGAAAGTCCGGACAGTGCTCTACCGGCTGAAGTGCCTTCTTGACTAGAGCACCCAAAGACCCGTCCAGCTCCATCTGAAGCAGCCAAAAGCCCAAGACATCACGAATCAGCATGGTGCACGAGGCTGCAACATCGTTAAGGACCATCCAGCCGGCATTCATGCTTTGCAAGGGGTCTCCCACCGTCTGCATGTTGCAGTCTGGGTTCACACTCTTGAGCTGCTTCAGAAAACCGTATTCAAATCTTGCAAACGTGGCAACATCGCACGAGCCATCCTGTAGTCGCTGCGCACGATCAGCGGGACCAGAGTCAAAGCTCATCAAGTTCTCATACCTAAACACTGATGGGCGCCATGTGGGTTGCATGCAGAAGAAGCATGCTTGCTGACAGTTAAAGGTTTCCCTAGACTGGGCGTCCCTGTTGGAGAGCCCTTCTCGGATCATGTTACGTTGGGGCCCGCTGCTCGTTCAAGCATCCGTATGAAACCCTAAAGTGGAAGCAAAGTTACCTGGGAAAATTTGCTCTGAACCAGTCCTGATCCGCGGATCCATCTGCAACGCAAACCTTCTTGCTCCTCAGAACAGCACCAGCCAGGGAACTGAAAGGCGCCTGATTCTTTGCTTGCACAACCAAAAAAGAAGCGAGATTAGCCGTGTAAGCTGCCAAGATTAGAACAATGCACCACGTCCACGACATGATGAGGATCTTCCCCGCCCATGTTTTGGGCGCAAAACTCGCGGCAGCCGTTATGTGCCCTGATGCCTTGAAGACAGAATCCATGGCCTGCAAGTAGGTTCTACGTTTGAAGCAGCCCTGCGCACCATCTGGGAAATCTTCCACATTCCGGGCTCCCTCCAGGAAGCGATAGATCAAGCCCGTGAAAACTGTGAGGGCCAAGAAGCAGAACCACACCGGGGCACTGAAAGGTGTGAGGAAGCTGAAAATCTCAGCAAAGTCGATGCCGGGCCGTCCTTCTTGCATAACCACGGCCCAGTACTGGGCATCCAGGAATCCGTACGGGCTGAAGGCGCCTCTCGCCATACGCTTGGGTGTGATGAACCAGTAACCATATGTGACCAAATCAAAGCGAACGATGGACTCCTCAAGTTTGTCGAGCCAGGCGCCTGGAGTCCTCAGTCCACACCCGTCCTTTTCACCGAAACGCAACATTGAACTTGAGCATTGGGGTCTTGAATGCGAATTAAGGATCCGAGTCCAGTTGTGCATCACCAACGAGTAGCTAAAGCGGGCGCGCCTGGCCAACTCGTCGAGGAGGTCAACCTCCAGGCCTCCGTAGGCCGCCTTTGCAGAATCCCACGCCAGAAACCTCTCGTCCCAGATACCTGTACCAACCTGGATGTGAATGCCCTGCAAGGCATATTCTCGTGGCAGCGTGCCGTTTCGAATTGGATCGATGCGATCACAGAGGAAGACACGGCTGCCATGACTTGGCAAGAAGGACAACCCAAGTGCCCACCAAACATGCAGCATGACCGAGCCCAAAACTGACAGCGTTCGATGAAAAGAGCTCCTAGGGCTTTTGCCAAAGCACTGCATTCTTCAACATGATCCTTCAAAGATTTCCTAACTCGGAACTGCGCTGTCAGCGATTGGAAAAATTGGACTTCCTACCATTGGGTTGAAAATGCAGCATGTTTGCAGCACAAGACATGACCAACTACGGTACAAGCGCATGCTTTGGGGTACGTGGCGCCCAAGAATTCAGGAAGTGCTGAATTTTTCTGAACATTTGCAGCTGTCATGCCACACTTCTCACTTCCGGCTCCTTACTGGTCTGTGATCTGGAAGCAGCCTGCAGTTCACGGCCTCCCAACACGAGCAATCACGACAACGTTCAACAGGACCAGCTAAAAAGACGAAGAGATGGGCATAGCTGAAGCTGGATCCAGAGTGTGGTCCCCGTCTTGCGGCTTTTTGAGTAGTTTGGAAACGCCCGTCACCGGCTAGGATAGCACGGAAACCAGCAGAATCTGTAAGCACATGGGGGCATATTTGTTCCACTCACTTTTCTACACAACATGTTCCTGCTGTGTGCTAAAAAAACACGCTTATTTGAGCAAAACTCTCTGTTTCATTCAACTTTGTTCTTTTTGAGAGAGCCACTGAATGCAGCCGGGATACATAAAACGCAAGCCGAGTTGCATTTTCCTACCATGCAGACCAAGGTGTAAACGATTTGTTGAGGGTAGAAGACATTCGGGCTTGTACAGCAAAGATCATCAAATGACAGAACTTGAACCATATACGGCTTGTACGATACAGGATGTCAAAAACACTATGTCCCTTTGGCAGGTACGCCCGAGTGATCAACCCTGACATCCGCAGTTGCTTCATTGGACCATCGCACATAGCAACTGGATGGTCCCTGGCACAACGATTGCGAAATTGCTTGTCACATGTTGAAATCTCAGATCCTTCCGCTGTCCACCCAAAGCCTTCTACCCAATACGGCCAACAACATGGACCGCAGTCCCCAGTCGTAAATTTCTGGGTGGGCACACACACACACACCCCGTAAAGCAGGGTGCATAACAGAAGAAGTACCGAAGAAGAATCAAATGTCTCTCCCTGTGCCACGATTTGAACCCAGTACAAGCCAAGGCTCGAATGTAACTCCATTTCACTTCCAATGAAGGGCAAGAACATGGACCGCAGACAGTTCTGGGTGGACACACACACACACACACACCCCGCAAAGCAGGGTGAGCATCAAGAAACATTTTAAACAGAAGAAGAGTACCGAAGATAGAATCAACCCCTAATCACCAACAGCCAAGGCACGCTTCTAATTTCGCGAGATCACCGCAGTCAAACTTCGAAAAATTTCTGCAGTATCCATCACTGAGCATGAACATGGACCACCGTCTCCAGTCGAACATTTTGGGGCGTACACAGACATCCCGCAAAAGCTAAGTAAACTCGCGGGTGAACGTAATAAAGGATGTGATTGAAAGGATTTGAAGGAAGACATGAGGTTCACGATCCAGTACATATTGAGTCCAGAGACTATATTCGCTAGCCCGGAGAAGTAAATTATAAATGAGCGCAGTGAGTGCATTAATATTAGCTTCATGTGTTCATTAAATTTATTATCTTGTGTTGCAATTTCATAATGCATAAGAGAATGAGTGCGCAAATTACACCATTAATAAAGTTGTAGCGAAGAAAACTACATGTAAAATTACAGGCACGAAGTGAGACGGCGGTTACACCATAAATTATTAATTCGCAAAATCACGCATTAAAAGAGCTCTCGTTCTCTCGGCAAATTTTATATTCTAAATGGAGATAATAAATTTGTAATTACTGTAACTCCTCATAAACTCATTTGTCCTAAAGGTAAAACATAACCCATAAATGTTGTTCCCATTCAGAAGAAGTAAATAATAATTCCAGAAAACCAAGTATTTGGGTTATAAAAATATGAAGCATAAGATATAGCTCTTCCAAGATGAAGAAATATAAAAAGAAAGACAAATGATACACCATTAGAATGAAGATAACGTAAACACCATCCATAATATAGTTATTTCTCTAATTGAAAAGAAAAAAGAAAAATATCTGAATTAATATCTGATGTATAATGTAAACCTAAGAAGATTCCTGTAATAATTTATAATAAGATATTAATTCCTAATAAAAAACCAATATTCCAAAAATAATTTATGATCAAAGGACAAGGATATGATTGTAAATGAGATTTCATTAGTAATACAAAATATGCTGCATTCATTCACTTTGTTCCTGTACTTCGTTCATGCCTCATTCATTATATTCATAATATTTTTAAATAATGCACTCTCTACGTAGTTTTAATACGGGCTAGTGAATATAATATAAGCCCGTGAAGATAAGGGAGAGAGAGTAATACCAGGGTGTGTGCATGAATGAACAAACTGAGTTGCTGACTTCATGGACCGAGGAACAGGCAACTCCCAACAGGTTGATTTGGCCAATTCACTGTAAATGTCGTCTCCCGGAGTGAGGTCGCAACAGCTCGCTGTCAAGAAAGTGTCTTGTTTAGCGGCAATGCATCGCATGCCCTGTTGCTGAAGCCTCAAGTTGGGCACGTGCTCTTTATCTTGACGCGGAGGGAAGCACTGCCTGACACGTCGACTGCAGCAAGCCAAGTTTTGCAACCCAAATAGCAAACGTTTAAATTGGCAAAATGGCCAATCTTAGCGATTTCTAACCATTTTGGGCCTTCAAAAACCCTGTGCTCAATAGAAGTAGAAAAAACATGGGGATTTTCCGAAGATTGGCGACCCTTCGGGGACCTGGAAAGGCCAAGGTAAGATGCTCTCGGAGCAAATCCACGGTGCGTGTCGGCACTAACGAGCCTGCATTCACTGCTTTTCTGTGCTTGAACCTGTGAACATTTCGCTTACTCGGAGACTCAGCATTGACAGCAGTTTCCAGCGTGGCTTCACTTGCTCACGAGGTGCAGACCTTGCAAAGCTTGATCAACGCCAGCCTTGTGTTCAAAGGGTGCGTCGACCTTGGCGCCGGTCCTCGCTTTTTGGCAATCCAGCAATTGGCATCACGTAGGTGTGTGAGGTACTTGGCTGCGCCATCGTTTCTTTTGCTGCTTGACAAGGCACACAACAGACTGCGCAAGGAAGAAGATCTAAAGTGAGTCCTTGCGCACGGTGCCCCAACAAGAGAGAGCAAAACCTTGCGCAGAATGTCATGTCCGTCTCTGCTTCCGAAAGGCTTGTTTGTGCGGGGCTCGAGCGACTCCAATCCAAACAAGACCGGAAGATGGATGCCTGCTCCCGAAGCGCATGGAAGGCACACGATCGCTGTGTGTCACCCAGCAGGGTGGTGGAGCAAACCATGGCTCCGACCAGCCGGCTAGAAGCACCGGCCCAGTGAGTCCTTGCTGAAGTGCGTGTTCCCTCCAGCCCAGGGCGCACTAAGCGAGCGATTCGAAGCTGGTGAAGCCGCCAGCCTGCCCACAGGCCCCAGCTTGCCATGTGCACAGCGCTTCGTGCGGTTCCGATGGCCGCAATATCAAACTTAGGGCAAGAGCCAGAGGAAAGGCTGCTTCAACAGAAAGATGACCACTTCAGAACGAAGTTACTACACACTGCACACTCACTTTAAATAGCGTATTGGGCAAAAACACACTCGTATGATTTCCTTGGAAATCAACGAGGCATAAACCATCGAGGATGGGATCACACGGATTCCCAATCACTCCGAAGCAAAACAAACCTTCACAAGCTGATCCAAAACATGACAAAAACATCACTGATCAGCCACAATCTTCCACTTTACAGGAAGTGACCACTCACAAACTGTGTGGAGGCAGGGTGCGCGTTCGATGCACGTCCTGCCAGCAATGCCACAATGGCCGCCTGCCATAAAAGCCCCCTTGCGGACCTGAGTTGAAGCTCACAAGAGAGAATTCGTTCAGTTTGTGCACTTCGTGACTTTTGGCTCAAGTGGCTCTGACTGTGAAAAAAGAGAGAGTTGTCCGCGCTTGTGTGAGAGGGGTAAAGGTACCAGAGGAACCTTCGGTTTTCACGTGGTAGCGGAGCTTGTGCCTTGTGGTACGAGCCCGTGTATGGTCTTTGGTGTCAGGACTCTGTGAGTGCCTGGAGGCAAGTTTGGGTTTGGAGCCCAGACTGCCAGTGGACCGGAATCTCTTGTCTCCGTAAGTGAGTATCGGGAAGCCTATCCTGTGAGGAGGCGGATCCGGACTCATCAGGTTGGAAGCAGTTGGTTCAGCGGCTGTTGAGGCACTTTGGAGCCCGGGCAAGGTGGTTTGTCTGGAACTGGATTGGTTCCGATCTTGGAGGAATACGGTGCTTGGTAGAGTAGAACTAAGGTTCTTCAGGAGCCTGGACCATCTGGTGTTGGTGAGAGAATTTTCGCCAGAAGACGTTGTGGAGAGACTGCAGGCTGGAGCCTGAGTTCAGGAACTATGTTGAATACATCCCCACGATGGTGTGGAGCTCATGTGAGGAGTCCAAGAGGTGGACGAGACGTGGAAGCTCTGTGCCCATCATGGATGCTGAGACAAGGCGAAGGGTAGCCTTTTCCGGGTTTGGGAAATCCCAACCCACTGTGGGTGCAAGGTTTGGCACAAGGAAGCCAACCTGTGTATGGCCCAGTGCCCAGAGGTCGAACTCCCGCCAGAAGCCCTCATGGGGTAGCTACTGGAGCACCCCAACAGACAATGGGAGGCCCTTCGTTTCCCCCTGGTTTGCCTCAGCAAGCGGTAGGAAGTCCTTCGTTACCACCAGGACTATCCACTGGAACTCCTCAACCTGTGGTGACACCATCACAAACATCACCCGACGTGCAAGGGTTGACGAGACAAGTGCGAGAATTGGAAAGCATGATGCAGCAACTGGTTGTGCAGCAACAGCAGTTTATGCAAACGATGACTTCGTCCATGGTGCAGCAACAGCAGCAGCATCAGCAGTGGATGATACAGCAGCATCAGCAACAGCAGCCACAGC